CATATTTCTTTGTTCTGGTTAAAAGCCTGGCAGCTGAGTTCTGGACAGTCTGGAGTCGATCAATAGATTTTTGGGTTAAACAGGTGAAAAGGCTGTTGCAATAATCCAGGCGTGATGAGATGAAGGCGTGTAAAATGGTCTCGGTGTCCTTAAAAGTTAACATAGATCGAATTTTTGCTATATTTCTAAGTTGATAAAAACATGATTGAACAAGCTTTGTGGTGTGCTGCTCGAAATTTAAATTACTATCAAACCAAACACCAAGGTTCTTTGCCACAGGCTTAATGTGATTTACTAGGGAACCAGCAGATGGCAGTATTTGATTTGCCATCTGCTGAGACCCGATGACCAGGATTTCTGTTTTGTCTGAGTTCAGCTGGAGGAAATTATTTGACATCCATTTTTTAACTTCACAAAGGCAGTTGTTAAGTGAACTCGGCATTCCAGGGTCTGTGGATCTGACGGGCAAGTATATTTGTGTGTCATCAGCATAAATATGAAAAGAAATGCCATGTTTATGGATAATATGTCCAAGGGGAAGCAGATACAAGGAAAACAAAATGGGTCCTAAGACCGACCCCTGAGGCACACCATATTTAACTGGACAGAATGAGGAGACATAGTTGTTTACAGACACACAAAACTTCCTATTTGACAGGTAGGATGAAAACCATTCTAGGGCAGTACCAGAGATCCCCACCCAGTGCCTCAGTCTGTCTAACATGATGTTGTGATCAATGGTGTCAAAAGCAGCGCTAAGGTCCAGGAGTACCAGGACTGAGCACATGCCTTCATCAGCAGACATTAAAAGGTCATTGGTGACTTTAAGCAGGGCAGTCTCAGTGCTGTGGTACGTCCTAAAACCAGACTGAAACTTTTCAAATATTTTGTTATTTTCCAGTACAGTGAGCAGCTGTTTGGACACAATTCTTTCTAGAATCTTTGCAATAAAAGGCAGTTTTGAAATTGGTCTAAAATTATGTGGGAGGGAGGGATCTAAACCAAGTTTCTTTAAAAGTGGGTTCACGCAAGCCGTTTTAAAGTAATCAGGGACACAACCAGTAGATAGGGAGCTGTTGAAAACAGAGATCAAATGGGGCCCAGCAGAATCTATTACTTTCAGTAAAAATTTTGTAGGTATTACATCAAGTGGGCTGGAGGACACTCTCATTTGTGATACTGTTTTTAAAAGCTCAGACAATAAAAAAAAAAAAAATAAAAAAAAATAAAAGCTCAGACAAGTCGATGGGATAAAACTGGTTAAAACTCTCTTGTTGCTGGTGAGGAACCTCTGAGTAAGAGGCCACGGGGGTAATGGAGGCTCTGATTGACACCACCTTATTGGTAAAATAAGATAAAAACAATTCACAGTCATCGTTACTTCCAGCTGAGGCACAAGGAGGGGTTGGGTTTACCAGCCGATTCACAGTCTTAAACAGAAACCTGGGATTGTGTTTATGTGTAGTAATGAGTTCAGAAAAATAGTGTGTTCTCGCATCCTTAACCATGTTATTGTAGTTAATTAATAAATCCTTCAGACTGAGGTAATGGACTTGGAGACTGGATTTTTTCCATCTGCGCTCTGCTTTCCTGCATTCCCTTTTGAGGCTGCGAATGCTGTCATTTATCCAGGGTTGCTTACTAGCTTTAGACGTAGGCCTAACCTTTAGAGGAGCAGTAATATTTAGTGACGACAAGCAGATATGATTGAAGTGATCGACCAGATTGTTGGTGTTGGAATCAGACAGGTGTTGGCTTTGGCTCTGAAAGAATGTGCAAAACTTTGAAACACTTTGTTCATTAAAGATGCGAGAACACACGGAGCTTGGTGAGGCTGCATGAGTAACAGGCGAATCACAGCTAAAAACAATACATCTGTGGTCAGATATGGTCATGTCCACTAATTCCACAGAGGAAATGCTGACACCCAGGGTAAAAACCAAGTCCAGTGTATGACCACGGTTATGTGTTTGTCCTTTGACATGTTGTTTGAAGTTAAAAGAAGTGGCCATATTTAAAAAGTTAGTTGCATTAACATTGTTGGGGTCATCAACATGAATATTAAAATCACCACAAAGAACAATTCTGTCATAATTTAAAACCAGAGTAGATAAAAATTCAGGAAGCTCTGATAAAAATCCTCCAGGCGGTTTTGGGGGGCGATAAATTATTACAAATATGATAGGTTGCCGCCCTCCAACTTTAAGAGTGAGAACTTCAAATGAGTTAAATTCATCACAGCGTACTTGATGACATTTAAAATTTTCCCTATACACGCTCAGTAGCCCACCACCACGACCACTGACCCTCGGTTGACTAAAACAATCATATTTAGGCGGACACAGTTCAGCTAGCTGGCTATAGTCATTCATTTGCAACCAGGATTCAGTTAAAAACATAAAATCTAGATTTGCAGACAAGATAAAATCATTTAAGATAAAAGTCTTACTTGAAAGTGATCTCACATTGAAGAGAGCCATTTTAAATGAGTTTGTTCTGGGTGCTGGAGTTGGTGCAGTTGTCCTAATCCTTAAGAGATTACTAATATTTCTGTGTGGGATGTTCACATTTCGGTTTACTGGTCTATGCGTGATGATGACAGGAATAGAAGTCTGTGGAACAGCGCTGGTAGCAGACGGCTTTACATGCCAGCAGGTGGAGACAGTTGTTTGTGGCAGTGAGGAAGAGATGTGTTCAGTGAGCGGTGGTGTGTCCAGGTGTGCTGCATGAAATAATAATCGTAATGTTAATTATTATAATAACAATAATAACAATAGGACTAGTAACAATAGTTGTAGCAGAGGATGTCGAGCAGGAACACAGGGGCAGCAGGTGACTCGCAACCACAGATCCAGACTCCACAGCTCCAGAGCCAGAAACACCTTCAGGAAGTGATGGAGGAGAAAGGAGAGGGACGAGAAAGCACAAGACTACCGGAAAGGGGTGTAGTCGAGTTAGTAACAGGCAATAATGGGATGAAGTTGCATACAGAGGGAGAGAAAGTAGAGGAGAGTGGAGCTCAGTGCATCATGGGAAATCCCCCGGCAGTCTAGGCCTATAGCAGCATAACTAAGGGATGGTTCAGGACTCACCTGAGCCAGCGCTAACTATAAGCTTTATCAAAGAGGAAAGTCTTAAGCCTACTCTTAAATGTGGAGATGGTGTCTGCCTCCTGAACCCAAACTGGAACCTGGTTCCACAGGAGAGGAGCTTGATAGCTGAACGCTCTGGATCCCATTCTACTTTTGGAGACTCTAGGAACCACAAGTAACCCTGCATTCTGGGAGTGCAGTGCTCTGGTGGGGTAGTAAGGTACAATGAGCTCTTTAAGATAAGATGGTGCCTGACCATTAAGAGCTTTGTAGGTAAGAAGAATGATTTTAAATTCTATTCTGGATTTTACAGGAAGCCAATGCAGAGAAGCTAAGACAGGAGAAATATGATCTCTTTTCCTGTTCCTGTCAGAACACGTGCTGCAGCATTCTGTATCAGCTGAAGAGTCTTAATGGACTTTTTCGAGCAGCCTGATAATAGGGAATTGCAGTAATCCAGCCTAGAAGTAACAAATGCAAGGACTAGTTTTTCTGCATCATTTTTAGACAGGATGTTCCTGGTTTTCGCAATATTACGTAGGTGAAAAAAGGCGGTCCTTGAAATTTTACTTAAACGACATGTCCTGATCAAAGATAACTCCAAGATTCCTCACAGTGGTGCTGGAGGCCAGGGCGATGCCATCAAGGGAAACTATATCTTTAGATAATGAGAGTTTAACATTAGAAAATTACAGGTCATCCAGGTTTTAACATCCTGAAGACACATTTGAAGTTTAACTAACTGATTAGTTTCATCTAGTTTGATCGATAGATATAACTTAGTATCATCTGCATAACAATGAAAGCTTATGGAATATTTCCTGATAATATTGCCTAAAGGAAGCATATATAAAGTGAAGAGGATTGGTCCGAGCACAGATCCTTGTGGAACTCCATGACTAACTTTGGCGTGCATGGAGGACTCATCGTTAACATGTACAAACTTAAACCAGCTTAGAGCGGTTCCTTTAATGAAAATGAAGTGGTCCACTTTAAAGTACTGTGGTACATAGCCTGTTGATAAAGATAGATTGATCATATCTAGTATAGAAGTGCTGACTAAGGGTAAAGCATCTTTAAGCAGCCTAGTCGGGATGTGGTCTAAGAGGCAGGTTGATGGTTTAGATTAAGAAATTATTGAAGTTAGTTGGTAAAGATTGAGGGAAGCAAAGCAGTCTAAACATATATCTGGTTTTACAGCTGTTTCTAAGGTTCCTGAGTTTGGAGATAAGTCGGTGCCAGTTGAGGGTTATAGTTATAATTTTATCATTAAAGAAGCTCATGAAGTCGTAACTACTGAGAGCTATGGGAATACTTGGCTCAATAGAGCTGTGACTCTCTGTCAGCCTGGCTACAGTGCTGAAAAGAAACATGGGGTTGTTCCTATTTTCCTCTATTAATGACGAGTAGTACGCTGCTCTGGCATTACGGAGGGCCTTCCTATAAGTTTTAAGACTATCTTGCCAAATTAAAGGAGAATTTTCCAGTTTGGTGGAACGCCAATTCCTCTCAAGTTTCCGCGATATTTGCTTTAATTTGTGAGTTTCAGTATTATACCATAACCGTATTTGTTTTAGTATTTTCTTTTTTAGAGGGGCTACAGAGTCGAGTGTCATTCGCAGCGAGCCTGCAGCACTATCAACAAGATGATCGATTTGGGAGGGACTGAAATTAGCATAGGAGTCCTCCGTTACTTTGTGATTTGATAATGAATTTAGAGCTGATGGAATCGCATCCTTAAATTTAGCTACAGCATTATCAGACAGACATCTTGGATAGATATTTTTGCCCAGTGGCGTGTAGTTCAGCAATACAAACTCAAAAGTTATAAACACATACTTTGTGTTTTAGAGACAAGGACCAACACAAATACTACAAACACACTCAACATAAAATCCTGTATTTCAGGTGTATAAGGTGTGCAGTGACACGTTTGACTCCTACGACCAGCACTACGGGAGGGGACTGGCCAAGGACACCGTTAAAGATGGTATGTGTGTATGTGTGTGTTTCATGTTTTTATATCCCGTTGGGAACTTCAACCTGATTGCACACTAATGGGGACAAATATATAGTTTTACCAAAGGTTTTCACTAACACATTTTGTGACTTAATACCACTGACACTAGCCATGTTTCCATCCAATTGTCATGTGAATTTTAAGCATACTTTTGAAATGTTGCAAAAAAGAAAAAAAAAAGTAAATGCAAAATATGTACGTTTCCATCAGCTGGTCTGGAGCAAATAAACCAGGCTACAGCAAGTGTAGTTACGTCAGTAGTTGACGTTACACATGGCTGGAATAAATAAGATGTATGGGTTCCAAACCAGAAACAAAACCAGTTGCATGAACCTGATGACTATTGATCTTGAAAATATTGGTATTGATATTGATATTGAAAATGGAGCGAGGTCCTAAGGAATGTGTTTCAAGCGAGCAAGTTGCTGCCAGCCATGTCTCCGCACGTAATGGGAATATCTGGTGTTTCGCCGAGTTTTGCATGCCTCCCGAGAATTGCATGAACCTCCAAATACTGCTTTTAAACACTATAATATCCTTTGTGGGGTTCATCAATGGTTATAAATGATTCAAAGTATTTATTCTGTGAACGTTTAGAGTTGTTAATATTTTATTACACTCAGTAGTCGTAGCATTCATTGAGATTCAGCAAAAAGATGCGGTGATAACCCCGTTCGATCAGCGTGCAGAGCAAAGTATCTGAAAAGGACCTTTAAGAGGTGAATGCATAATTCGGCAGAACAGGTGATTAAGGCCACCTGCCGAGATTTGCATCCACCTCTTTTCTCAGCAAAATGAGCGTTACTAGCCGCGAGGTGCATGAAATTCTCGGCAGGCATGCCAAACTCTGCACAACCGGGCAAGACAGCAGAAACAGCTGATCAGAGTTAAAAGTTCGCTACATCAGAACTTATTTGAAAAATGTGTTACCATCTCCCATTTAGCGCATTTACTCTTTTTCGACAAAGGCAAAACCACCTCAAGTGAGCGTAAAAACTTTCATGTGAAATTAAGGAAATTTTTTCCAAATTTTGCCGTTTCCATCAACCTTTTCTAATGCAATACTTCAAAATGCGCATTAAAAAATGTTGATGGAAATACGGCTAGTGAAGTGTTGAAGGAACCTTTCAGAATAACTCCAAGTGATCACATGCTTATTAACATGTGTGCTGACAGAGGAACAGCCAATCGGACACAAGCATTTATGCCTCTTCTCTCCGCTCCTCTCCACCAGGCCTGGCTAAATTCTTCCATAATGGTGTTAGTCTGAGGAAGGATGCTGTGTCAGCCAGCATCCGCAGAGTGCAGCGTATCCTCCACTGGTTTGAGTCCCAGCGCCAGCTGGCCTTCTACGCCAGCTCCCTTCTCTTCGTCTACGAGGGCCTCCCCTCCTCTTCCTCCCCATCCTCCCTTTCTTCCCTTCTTAGTACCCCTTCAATCAGCCCAATGGCAGGGAAGACTGCCACATTATTATCTGCAAGTGATAGTGGTTGGGGTGGGGAGGGAAAACCAAGACAGGAAGTGGTGGGGCAGGAAGTGGCTGAGTACAACAACAACAACATTCAGGTGTGTGCACCCTGGGACTACAGCCTGGCCACCATTTACACCAACCAAACGAAAGGCGGCCAACACCACAGTGCCAAGGGTCATCTCCATGCCAACAGTGGAGACAGTGATGCTGTGGGGATGACAGTGAGTTCAGTTTCTAGAGATAACATCTCAGCGATGTGTGAAGAAGACAACTCCGCATGGAAACGGACAGGCGAGGCGCGACAACCACCGAATGCAAACGGAAACAAATCACAACTGGAAGGGAAGGGTGAGGATGCAGAGAGGGAGGACAGCTGCAGGAGAAAGAGAGAGGAGGAGGAGTTGAAAGGATGGGGGGGCGACGCAACAGAGGGGAGTGGAGGAGAGGCGGAGGTGGAGGTCAGGATGATCGACTTTGCCCACGTTTTCCCGAGCGAGAGCCACGATCACGGCTACATCTACGGCCTCAAACACCTGCTGAAGGTGCTGGAGCAGATCTTCTGTGATGCTGCCTAGAGCCCTCACTCCTCCCTGCCTTCTCTTTACCTCCAGGCCTGCTCAATGAACCACTGTCTCCATGTCAACCCTCAAAAGACAGCAACCTTCAGAGGACAGAGGGACGAATCAAAGAAGTGAATATGAAAACAGAAATATCGTCATCTCATCTGTCTGTGGTCGTCCATCCGTCGAGTGTGTGTGTGTGTGAGTGTGTGAGAGAGCTAAGTGGAGGTAGTAAAGGCCGACTGCTGTGCTTTCCCTGTGATCAGCAGCACAGCATGCACTAATCAATCCATGAAGGCATTACGACCCTGTACTTAAACACAACATTGTCAGCTGCATGGTTTACTGATGCTCAGATACACTCCATTCAATTTGAAATCTTTTATACCATGGGCACTGAAATTAGCTGGCAGACATTTGTCAAAATTGTATCAGAACACCTCAAATTAGGGGTGGGCAGGGCCATATCTAAATACATACCGAGAGATGATATGAATTAGTCAGCCATACCTCTTATACTGTAAAAGCTGTCCCTTTAATATCTCTGGTTGAATTCGACCAGTGTGGGAAATGCTGCAAATCAGTGAGCAGCACTGAGTTTTGCATCAATGTGATGAAACACCAGATTCTTCAGTTAATCAATTCACTTATTTTATTATCCAAATTATTATTATTATGCAAAAAGCAAATGTTCCCATTTATTCTCTATTCTAACAGTTTCTCAATTTCAAGGAAATGTACTATTTAAAGATAGAAATCTATATTGCAGTATAGTTATTTTTACTGTGATAGAAGATTTTATCCATATCATCCACCTCATCTTAAGGTCCACTCACTGCTGAAAGTTCAAAGTGAAGAAAGTTTAGTTCGTGTTTTAATTAAGATGTGTAGCATTTGACTATGCAGTGTACCAGGAAACTACCTAAACTTAGAAATAGCAATTATATTTTGCTGCAGCACTCAAAACATTTTTCTTTTAGCCACATTTTGGGAAATTAGCTAACAAATTCCCAAAATGGTTACCTGGATTTGGTTCCTTTAGGTTTACAGTATACTGTCAAATTACAAACAAACCAGAGCTGGGAAACAGAAGTCCATTCATCTCCACCGAAACCACCAAGTGAAAAACTAAATGTGGGTTCAGAATGGCCTCTTGAGGGTCAAACTGACAGATATGTCAATGATAAGAGTGTTAGCATCGGGGAAAATAAGAAGTCTGGAGAATGTTGAGGTTTAAGCCGGGTCATCATTTTGTGTTTTTGTTCTAACCACTGTCTCCAGGTATCTAACTCAGGTAAATTTACTGTAAAAAAAAAAAGAAAGAAAAGAGAAAAAGCTTAATATTACTACTTTGATCCTGTCAGCAAGATGAACCTCATGCTGTCTGGCTGGTAAGTTGTTTTATATAGTCTTACTCAATGTTTATCATGTATCGTGATTGAACTTATCTCATCAATGTTGACCTTCGCGTCATGTTTTTGACCGCTTAACCTTACAATGATCTTACACGTTGTATTCTGTTTTACCATGGCTGTTTGAATTGTTGTACATGTTGGGCTGCCACATCAGCTCTCCTTTCTCTTATTATTATTCCGGTTATTTGGTGTCCCCCTCCATCTGCTCTAGTTTTAGGAATGGGATTGTGTTCATACCTTGTACTGCCAAGTTTTTATAAAACTACTTAAATCAAAAGGTAACATTGCTTACGAGTGGGTTGGACATCAGTGCTATTACTCTGGCATTAAACATTAGTTATTCCTTGATTTTAAGTTATATGCAAGAATAGGAAAATCTACCATTTCTCTCACATATTCTGGTGAGATGATTGTTTGAAAAGGTTTTTTTGTTTGAGAGAAGCAACACAATGTGCTGTGATTGGTTAACATGATATTACCTAATATATGACTTCCATGAGGATTTTAAGATTGTAGTAAAATGATTTTTGAAACTTGCTGCTTTAATGGGAGTCGACTGACAGACTCATGGTAAAGAGAGAAAGACAGCGATTGAATGGAGGGGGAGGGGGGTAGTTGTTGTTAGTAAAACAGAAGTAAGCAGGTCCTTTTTACACTACAGCTAAACTGGTTCATGTTGCTTGATTAACTCTGATTTAGTAGGGTTGACTAATGTGGGTTTTAGGCAGATATTCTGTATACATTGAATGATGCTAATTTTTTTTCATGCCAGGTATGTAAAAGGTTTAGTGAAACTGGATGAAGACCAAAGACCAGTGACGTTCATTTAGTTGTCATGATTTATGGAAGCCCCAAGCAGCCTTGGTTGCTGCCATTTTTCCGTCTTGTCTTCAGATCACAAAGTGTTTTCTTACAATCATTCCTTCATTATCATAAGGTGTAGTTACTTGGTTTTTCTGGAGCTGTCTGCCACATATCATGGCCTTTATTAATAGGTTGTGTTTAATCCATAGTTGAAGGTCACAAGATGTGGCTGACAGCTCTGGACAGTGGACCTTGTTTTTGTCAAACTGCTTTTTCCATTTTCTAGGTTGAAACTTCAAGCTCAAGTTCTGTTAAGTTGTGCTTGGATTGTCTGATTTGTAGTAATTTGTTTCATTTCAGGTCAATTCAACACCTATTTAATTTCTCTTATTTCAGACAGGGGGATTTAAATAGTCCAAATGTGTAATATGCACCACTGAAGCACAATCTAAACTGAAAGTTATCGACTTAAGCTTTCACAGCAGGTTTTACAGACAGCACTAAATATGTGAAGTTAATTTAGATCCTCCAGTCTGATCTGCAGTCAGTCCTATATATTAGTCTAACCCTATGTTCTCCTAATGTTCCATCTCACTGCTCTGTTTTTACACACTAGGGCAAATAAGTATATATAATTTTAATTCTTTGATGACTCAGTGGGTCAGCTATGTGTTTAAATTGTTTTCACTTAATCATCCTTAAATGCTCAGCAGTTATTTTGTGCCACTGTCTGGTGTTAAGGTTTCTGGACTGGTTGTCTGGCTGCAGCTGCTTTAAAATGTGAGGGTAAATCTCATTTCTCCAGTACACCACAAACCTACTTGTATTTTAACCAATAATATGCAGAGGCCTCTTCAGTTTATGTAGCTTGTGATGTAATTATATGAATATTATGAAAATTCTGATCTTTTGTAAATTAACTTGATTATGATTTTAATCTGAACCAAAAGAGACAGCGAACTATTAGTATACAATATTTTCTCTAACGTTTCTTTTTAATAAACTTGATCATTTGTTCAAAATAATTATTATGAAAGTTCAGGAGTCCTTTAAATGATGTTTACAGGAGTTAGAGAATGGTTTTCCTATCACTATTTTCTGTTGCTGTCTCCATGTCATCTCTGTGTTTTGAATATTGATTATTGATCATTCCGGCAGCTTTGTGAATCTCCTCTCTGTATTTCTAGCCTGTTGTGTAATTGGTAACTAACATAAACCATATCTTGCATTTGTATTCTGGGCATTGTTGATGACATTGTTTTAATGATTGACTGACTCATTGTGATGCAACTTTAACTCTCTTCAATCAGTGAGAAAAAACTGTTATTAAAATTTTTATTTCAGTGTGGGTGGGCAGCACATCCACTATGTCCCTTACATTACACTGAATGTATGAACCAGCATTTTGTCCATTCAAATGTTTCCTTCTTAAGGACTGTGTTTATTCCCTTTGTTACGCATCATTTTTCTCTAGACACTATGTTTGGCTTTTCCAGACTCCTCTCAGGCAGACATTAGCTTCCAATCCACATTATGTCTGCAATTAACTGCTTAACAGTCCGTTTTAAATGCAGACTGATTTGGAGAAGTCTGAAGCACTGAATTACCACACAACAGTAACAATACAAAGTAAAGTAAGTTTTGTTCATAATGGAGCCTGGAGTGTGCCATTGGAATAATTGTAGGCTTCTACAGTGTAATACATATAATTATATCAGTTGGCAAGATAATCAATTAAAATTACATTTGCATTTAAATCTATAATATAAAAGTGAAAGTAAATGGTCTGTACTTGTTTAGCCCCTTTCTTTACATGTCACTTTCACCCATTCAAACACATTCATACACGTAAGCCAGACGTTGCCGTGCATGGTGCCAACTGCTAATCAGAAAGGAACTAATCATTCACATTTACAGTTTTCATTTCATTTTTTGACACTTAAAAATGAAACAAAACCCCAAAATACAGTGATGAAATGAAAATTGTAAATGGAAACAAATGTATTGCAGAGTGGAATATGGTAGGCAGACACAAAAGTAAATGAAAAAAATCAAATTTAAAGATAAAACAAGTGTTTTGTTAAAATTCAGTCATGCATCATATGAATCCAGAATAAGGAAATAAAATTATTAATTCTAGGTCTGCACAATTAATCAAAATATTATCGAAATGCAATATTAAAATTGCAGAAGCCACTGTTTTGGGCTAAATGTATAAAGAAGTAGCATTATGATGAAGTGCTGTAGGGCTGCAGAGATTTTTATCATATAATGCAGCCCAAACTGGCAATTATAATTATTATTATTTTTTAAATCAGTTTTTTAATGCATCATTTAAATGCAAATCAATTTAAAATACCCCTTTGTAAAGTATATATTTTTTTATTGATGGATTAAACACTGTAAAGGTCTATAAGTATTCAAAGGCTCATTGTGGCGAATGTGTTTCAAGTCTACAGTTGATTTTCATACCACAGTGAAGTGGATAGACACCATTTGCTGCCTAAAAGGTGGAAGATGAAGACAAACGAGTTCTAAAAATATATGCAATTGGTAGTAAATGGCTTCATGCATGCATAAATACAAATTTATTTAAGGTTATTTGGACCTATGTTGACCTCTAGCTGCAGCCTGTTGGAATTACAGCAACACAGTGTCAGAATGGACCACACTGACTGGGTCAGAGTGATTCATGAAAATGCAACCTGATTGTGCAGTATGAGGGCAGCTGTGGTCAGCCACACTGTGTTTTAGGTGCATCACTTTTTTTCTGGCTTTAAACTGCTGATAATTACGATGCAAAATGTCAGATTGACAAAGCCAGTGATGAGGTGAAACGGTCAAAGTGAATCTGTGTTAGATCTGGCTGTATGTTGCTCTCTTTATATGTTCTGTTCATTTGTTTACATTTCAGATGCTCACCTCATTACCAGGACAGGTTAGAGGCCAGAACATGATTTCTATCATTTAACTCCAGCACCAACTGGAGTTCTTTATTTGTCTATAATGCACTGCAGACAAATGAAATAGCCAATTTATGACATGTCCTCTGAACTGTACACTGCACTCAACAAATAGTCTTCTTTTTGCAGCTTTCCTATGATTAGATCATTTTGGCAGTATCAGTTCAACTCAAATCATGTAATCAGTCCTATAAATGATCAGTTCATTAAATGTCCAGCTGATTCACTTAATTCATCACATGAAGTGTTGGTTGTTCAGAAACATTGTTAGCTTACTTGTATATTTTACTTATTTCTTTTAACATTCTCCAGAAAGTCTTTTTATCGTTTGAAAAAGTTTCATGATGGAGGGTGTCGTGCATTTCCATACATGTGTCATGACATTTACATTTATTCATTTAGCTGATGCTTTTATCCAAAGCGACTTACAATTGCTATACATGTCAGAGGTCGCATGCCTCTGGAGCAACGAGGGGTTAAGTGTCTTACTCAGGGACACACTGGTGGATGGGTCACAGTGGGGGATTAAACCCGGGTTTCTCATATTAAAGGCATAGTCCCATCCATCACGAGAAATCAAACTTTGTTTCACTAATGACAAAATGAATACAATTAAGTTTTGACAATATAAATAGGTTACTCTTAAGTTTACAGAATTTGGACAAATTCAAAGAGAAATCCAAAGAAAAAGCTAAATGTTTAAGAAAACATTGATGTTTGATGTGATCACTTTCTCACTATTGACACTCCACTAAGAATAGACACAAGAGCAACTGCTGTAAATGCTGCAGCAAATTTCAAAGTAACTGCTAGTGAATTTTTTAGCACATTGAAGCAAGCGGCTCCCTGGGTGACAAATCTCTAACTTGGTTGGATGCTTTGATAATTGGACAGCAGTAATCAGAGTAAATTGTTAAACTAGCAGTGTGCTTCCTTAATGTGGTCCAGAAAGAAAAAAGTGAAGAGGTGTATTGTCGTCTCGGCCCATCAGAAACCTTTGCTTTCAGTTTGCGTGTTTGAAGAACCATCTCAACAGTTAAAAGAAGCTCAAACAGTGAATATCTTTCACTACATTTATCAAACTTTTACTGCTACTTTAGCTGCATTCACCAGTTCAAAGCTGACATGAAATGCATCCAGTATCTATACTGTCTTTCCCTTTTGACACAAATTAAGCATTATTGAAAGAAAAAGACTTCATTCACACATTTTACTAAATAGCATTCCCTAACTACATGAAAAAATGTCTGGTTCTGATTGGCTGTGATAATCCAACTCACTTTTCTTCTGGGTGACAACTTTTGAGTCTTCGTGTGATGCCTAATGGAAACTTCAGGTGAGAATGTGCAGAGCGCTAAACAGTGTGCATGCTTGTGGCATGATATTGTTGGGGTGCCATCTTACAAACAAATAACAAAACAAAACCTGTTGAAGGTTTGAATGTGTGCCAGGTCCAGTTCAGCTTCACTTCTACCAGTGTTGGATCTCTGTGAGTCGTCTGCTAACAGAAAGATGTCCGAGTGAAGTCAACACATGGTGAGGAACTGAACCTGGTCTGCGCTTATGAGCCCTGTAATGGAGCTCCTCATTGTGGTTTATGAAGAGGGTTTGAATTTTGATCTATTGGATTTAACATGTGTTATTAATGAGCCTGAAGCAGAACAGAAAATACCCTCGGTGTACATAGAGAGAGGAACTCAAACAATAAAGTCCCTCTAAACTATCCTGATAACTTGTTATTTTTTTCAATAATAAAAATATTAATCAAACTGTTTGATGAGCTGCTTCTTTCTGGAGACCTTTTGAGAAAATAAGACACCCTTTTCACACTAACACTGTGATGAATTATGGAATTATTATTTTATACAATTAAACAATAATAAAATATAAATAAGGTAGGAAAGTCCTCGGAAATGGTTAAAGATGGCAAACAGAGCCAGTATTACAGGGTTCATCAACAAAATGGAGCAAGACAACCTTTTTGATGATATTGGCCAGGGCTGACTGGACCACCCTGATGTCTGAGCTTGGGAGAGGCGGCAGAGGTGTGGTGGAGGCACTTTAAAATATCAGAGGAATTGGTAAACGTTTCTCAGATAAAAGTTGCCAGTTGGTATCATCTTCCCCATGGACCTGAGGTAGTCAACCCATCTGTAAAAGCACAAGGTTGCACTTCACAGTGCTTGAGTCATAACAAGAACTCAATATATAACAAATAAAGTCACACTTGCTTTTTGTTTTTGTCCACATAGTCCAAAAACCTCCACGAGGGGAGCTGCTCGTAAAGAACACAAAGAACTTAATTCAGCTTATTTTTGAAAATGTGTTTTCCATCTGCTTCTATTCTCCAGAAAGAAACTGTCTAAACATGGAATTAGAACCTTAGATTACTCAAATGCTTTTTTGGGCTGGGGAAGATCAGGTTCCTAATTCCAGGGTCCTGCCGCTCCACTGGAACTGTTTCCTTATAACTTCTATGTTTCTATGTGGTCAGAGCCTGCAGCTGGCACGCTGGTCATGGGCTGTGGGCCCTTATCCTCTTCTTCCTCCTCCTTCTTATTCACAACTACAATGAACAGAGGAACACAGGCTTCCATGCAGGGAAGGACAATCAAAAGCTTAATCCAAAATCGGAAACATTCCAACAGCAGAGAATACAGGTGGGTCATGTGACGTGGTCAATGGTCTGTATTTGTACAGCAGCTTTTTGTGACTACTCAAAGCACTTCACTGCATCACATTCACCTTCGACCAGAAGATCGAATCACCGACCTTCTGGTTAGTGGACGTTCTATCTCCTGAGCCACAGCTGCCACCATGAATAGAAACAGTGCACGACACAACATGACACAACAATAATCCGACAAAGACTGAACTGATCAGAGGGTATAGGGAGAGACGCCAGGCGCCTGTACCACGGAGCAGGATTTATTTATCCAGATAACTTCAGAGTTAACCCGGGTTTTTAGTACCACGACGGTGGTTCACTTCGTACTGGAGTAGAGCGCCATGGTAAGTTGAGTGCTGAACGGCTAACCTGCTCCAGAGCATGTTATGTTCCCCTTCGAGGGAACTCGAACTGCGTCGGTGACGACACTATGGGAACGCCCCTGGGCGTGGCAGGGGGTATATAAGCACGCCGGCACATAGGACACATAAGCCCTTTCTATGAAGCAAGGCACTCCAGGCGGGGTGAGGTGTGGTGGACCGACGCAGTGTCTCGTTCCCCTTATCAGGGAACAAGGGTTACATACGTAACCCGAGACGTTTCTCAAAGTGTGAGGGGTGGCCCAGCCAGCCGCATCACACAAATCCTGGAGTGACGACCCTGCGAGGAGGGCCCTAGAAGCCGCCATGCCTCGAGTAGAGTGCGCCCTTACAGCCATAGGTGAAGGCAAACTGCGCACCTGATAGGCCAGGGAAATCTGAACGATCCAGTTGCTGATGGTGTGTTTAGAAGCGGGGAGCCCAGCCTTGGGGGACCCGAAACACACCAGCAACTGGTCTGCTTTCCTCCACCGGGAAGACCTCAGAGTGTAAATACTCAGTGCTCTGACAGGGCAGAGCAGATGAAGCCTCCCGTCCTCCGCCGTCACATGAGGTGGGGGATGAAATGCCTGCAGCACCGTGGACCCTGCTAGTCTGGCCGGAACCTTAGGGACATAACCTGGACAAGGGTGCAGGATGGCCCTGACCCTCCCCGGGGCAAACTCCAGGCATCGGGGAGACACCGAAAGTGCCTGGAGATCCCCCACCCTCCTCAGAGAAGTGATAGCGAGGAGAAAGGTCATCTTAAGGTTCAGGTGCTTGGCCTCAGCCGACTCCAGGGGTTCGAAGGGGGCCTCAGCCAGCGCTTCGAGAACCACTGCCAGGTCCCAGGTGGGAACCCTGGAACGAGTCACGGGTCTCATCCTCCGGGCTCCACGGAGGAAGCGCACGACCAGCGGAAGCCTCCCCAACGGCCCATCACTCAGAGGGGCGTGGAATGCTGCAATGGCAGCCACATATACTTTGAGCGTGGACGGGGAGAGGCCAGCGGAGAAACGGTGCTGGAGGAACTCCAGTATCACAATTACCGAGCAGGTAACTGGGTCCACCGCCCGTTCTCTGCACCAGGTGGTGAACACATTCCACTTTAGGCCGTACATCCTTCTCGTGGACGGGGCTCTGGAGCTGAGCAGCGTTTCGACTGCTCCTGTCGTCAGACCCGCCTCTAAGAACTGCGCCCCCTCAGGGGCCAGACCCATAGCTGCCACAGGGCGGGGTGCGGGTGAAAGATCCGGCCCTCCGCCTGGGACAGCAGGTCTCTCCTTAGAGGGACCTGCCAGGGCGGGCCCTCGAGGAGCGATATTAAATCCGAGAACCATACTCGTGCCGGCCAAAACGGGGCTACTAGTAGTAGGCTGACGCCGTCCTGGCAGACCCGCTCCAGAACCCCCGGGAGCAGACCGACTGGGGGAAACGCATACAGACGCGGCCTCTGCCACGTCTGTACCATGGCATCCAGCCCTAGCGGGGCTGGGGGTGATAGGGAGAACCACAGGGGACAGTGTGCCGTCTCTCGGGACGCAAACAAGTCCACGTCTATGGGGCCGAACTCTTCGCATAATAACTCCACCACCTCGGGGTGGAGTCTCCATTCCCCAGGCCTCAACCCCTGTCTCGACAGCAGTCCTGCTCCTTGATTCTGGGTCCCAGGGATGTACATCGCTCTGAGGGACAGCAGTCTCTCCTGGGACCACAGGAGGATCCGATGTGCCAGTTTGCATAATGGGCGCGAGCGCAGACCCCCCTGGTGATTCAAATAGGCCACCACCTTGGGACAGGAACCAAGGCTTCCTCCATACAGACAGGGAACGAAGGCATCCGCTCGTAACCCGTATCAGACGGAGCGGATTTCCCCCTCGGGGAGAATCCCTTGGATTTTAGCCAACACTGCAGGGCTCTCATGTGCAGTAGTCCGGAAGGTATTATACTGGACGCTGCTGCCAGAAGACCCAACACCCTCTGAAAGTGTTTTACAGTGATGGCGCGGCCTAACTGCACTCTGGTTACTGAGGATAAAATGGACTCGATGCGTGCGGGAGACAGGTGGGCCCGCATCGTTGTTGAGTCCCACACCACCCCTAGGAACGCAGTCCATTGGGCGGGTGTCAGCACGCTCTTCTTCGCGTTGAGCTGCAGCCCCAAACGCTGAAGGTGGGCGAGGACGACATCTCGATGCCGAACCGCTAACTCTCGAGACTGGGCCAGGACGAGCCAGTCGTTGATGTAGTTCAGTATGCGGATGCCCTGGAGCCTCAACGGAGCCATCGCGGTCCTGGAGTGTGACCGGTGGGGGAGATATCGCTCAAATGCCTCTCCCTGAGTTTTGGCGTGCTGGAACCTGTTGACGACAGCATCCACTGCTTCGCCAAACAGGCCAGAAGGCAAGAGGGGCGCATCAAGATGAAAAGCCCTCTCCTTCCAGAAACCGCTCATCTAGTTTACTGCAATGTGCAGCCTGGCCACAGCCCGCAACTTCCACTTCCAACAACTCCTCGTATCCTGGCAAGGGCTGATGACGTTCCATTTCCTCTATGCTAAGCACATCTAGCTCCTCAGAGCCAGATCGTGTCAGCCTTTCCGGACTCACCCCTCGAGTGGGAGAAACAGAGAAACGGGCCCCCAATCGGGGACGAGGGGAGGAGGATTCCGCGGATGAGGACCGGAAAAAGGCCTCAGTCATTCTGGCACCCTCGGCGATCTCACGTTGTGATCCCCAGGATCGGAGCTGCCGCGACGCCTCAGCGACCGCGGGGCCTGTGCCACGAGGGGAGCGCATCCGACCATCCTCTAGGAAAAGAGCTGCTCGAGACCTCAGCACCCTCAGGGGCAGGGCCTCACAATGCTCGCAGGCAGCCCCCTCGAAAGCCGCCTGAGCATGCGACATCCCCAGGCATGAGACGCACATCCCATGGGTATCACCTTCTGTGATGAAACGCTCACAAGGGAAGACACACTGTCGGAATCACTTTGAGATGATCTGCTGCTTCGTCTCGATGTCAGGTAGGAAAATGGAGCTTCCAAACATAGCCAGAGTGCTTGCTGAATAGAAAGAAGCTAATGTGTCCTATGTGCCGGCGTGCTTATATACCCCCTCCGGTTACGCCGTCACACACTACCATTCTAGTAACACCAATAGGATTGGAGTAGTTTCATTCATAGTTCAGCCTTCTCGGGGAACAAGGGTTACATACGTAACCCGAGACGTTCCAGATAAGAGATAACTCTATAAAAGCACTGCCTATTGGCCAATCAGCTATCTAGGAAAATGACATTCACACATCCATCCGTAGGAGTACCCACAGACTGTTTTTATAGGCTGCTTTAATGTGTGCTGCGGTAATGTGGAAAAACTTTTGTATAGCGATATCCTACAGAGACACAGAAAAATGTGACAGTAAGCATCAGAGAGGCACATTTTACAAGACAACAGCAAATAATATTAGACAAATAGACATAATCTAAGTAACACAGCTGCAGCTGACAATGGCAGTGTGGTGTTTAATGTCTTTCAGAAGCTTTCAAAGTAAAAGCTCTCAATTCAACTCAAAATAAATAGTGGTGCAAAAAACTCTCCCGCTTTTATTTTGTAGGCACAATTTGCTTTCATGACTGAGATCTATTTCAGCACCTATTGAACAAGTGCGGGAGGGGCAAGGAAGAGTGAGCGTGAGTGAC